CAAATTCTGCTGAAGGATGAGAACATCCTTCAGTCTCAGGCTATTTTGTTTGATGCTTCTAGAGATCCCTGGCCAAATACAGCTGTTTTTCCATTCTCCCCTCTAATATCCCCTCTTCTCACCAGAAGATGCTCTATGTACTGGAGCTTACACAGAGTAAAACCCCTCTATGCTCTCTCTCCCCATCTGCATCCAGATGGAGTGGCTTTTGTTCCTTTCTGCTGCTTGAAAACAAAGCAAAGAATCTTTCCTATTTATTGATTTCGAGAACCCTAAAGGTTTTGAAATAATGCCTTTGCCTTTCAAGCCTGAGGGTTGGAAGCCACGGCATAGGAAACTGGCAACAAAGAAAACACTTTTTGAAAGCATTCACTCAGCAATTCAGAATCGATCTGCAGAGTGTGTTCCACTTGTGCTTGCTTTTCACAGCCATTAGAGCAAGAAAGCTCTTTTTGCACTCATGCCCTGCCAAAGGGCTGGGAGGCTGCAGGCTGTGGCCTCCTGGACTGTGCATACCCCAGCTCTGCCAGGGCAACCTGGTAGAGTTGGAGCCATTGCACAGAAAAGAGCCAAGGCCTGGGTGTGAAACCCACCCTGGTTAAAGGGGAGAAGCATCAAAAAGGTCACACGTTAGGGAATTTCTGTAAATCAGGACCATATTCTCTCAGGTGCAAAAAAAAAAAAAAGGAAAAGGCAGAGGAATCTTTCCTCACATCACTTGTTGGTTTATACCTGGTACATCAAACAAAAAAAATTACAGCATGAAAATATACATCTGCCCCAAGGCAAGTAAGGGAATAACCATCTGTGTTTAACCTCTAATCAAGGCCAGCTCAAATTGTTCTATCATGTCTAGAGACATAGAATCAACCACAGAAAACAAGCTATTGCAGAAAATAACTTATTTATCTCAATGATCTCCTGTAAACTTCACATTTTCTGTGTGATCTGAAAAGTCTGACAAAATACTGTTTATTTATTTCCTAGTACAGAGGCAGCTTCAATGGACCTTCCACAAACAGAAGAAAAAAACCAAGCAAGCAGCCCTTTCCCTGGTCACAGAGCAGACAACTTCCTCACTTCTGGAATGCAGGACCCAAATTTCCTTGACATATCTCCTGCACATTGAGACAAAACAGCACAGGAAGGAATCGCTGTTTGACCTCTCTCTCTACTGACAATAAGCACAACAAACATATGGGATGTATCTCCGTGGTGAGAAGAGCAGACAAATTCTTAATTTATTTAATATTATCAGTGGCTGGAAGCATTCTGTGTCTTAAAGGTCCTCTAAAAACTCAGGCTTTTGTTAAGAGTTTATTTTATCACCATGGAAAGAAATGCATTCAGAGATCTGCTGCCCTGAGACTTAGGAGAAGTGTGCGGTAACAATCATCTTCAGGAAATTAGAATCGAAAGGAACTCAGAAGTGCAGCTTCTCAGAATCCATTTCACTACTCAAATATTTCTAGAGAAACAGAAAAAAAAGCCTGCAGATTTTAATTTTTTTTTAATAGATATTTCTCTAACTAGTAGTCCAAGACTCCATAGCAGGAATATTTGACAGCACACTCTCTCATCTTTGCATTTCAGTCTTTATACCACACCCATGGCACATCAGAGACCTTCATCCTTAACAACCGCCATTTTTCAGTAGCCAGTACTGAAAATACAAGAATATTGTAATAAAAATAAAATATAATAGAATAAGTGTAAAATATAATACAAGAATATTGTAATAAACAAAAATCAAACAATGCAATCACTGGAAAGACCCATTGAAGAGTTGGACATGTGAAATTCCATTGCAGCAACCAGTTTGGAGGCACCTGATCTTCAAGGTGGAATCCATAACCCTAAATTATACCTCTGGATAATGACTAAGGAAAGTCAATTTTCTCAAAAAGACATTCTTCCAAACAACTGCTATCTGTGCAGGGAGCTGCTGAAGCCATGGAAGGGTGTTGCTCTCATTCTACAGATATTGCAGTGTGAGGTGCGATGAGATGGGGAAAGGCTTCCATCCATGGGGATCCCCTTTGCAGATGGGCTCATTACCCATCCTCAGCCACTATGGGAAATCCTTTCCTGATCCTAATCAGGCATCATGACAGTACACACACACACATATATATATATAAAAATCATATTGAGTGTGGCACCTATATTCTGCTGCATAATTTGTCACACAGAGTCAAGTAAAGTCTCTTGTAGTGTTTCTGAATATTCTGCATAGGTTTTTGGCATCCCATTCACACTATTACTTAGTATTTTTCTTTTAAGTATGTTCTCTCTGTTGACCTAAGAAACATTAATGTGACAAACAAAAAACAAAAAGTAATTTCAAACAGGTTAATTTCTACATTTGCATCTACTCACAAAGCTTCCTGTTTTTACAGAAAAAAAAGTCTTCACTAAAATTCCATGGAACAACCACAGTTGTTATAAACTGTAATGGAATTTTAGATGTGCTGTTTCTCAGGAGAGTTGGTCTTAGGCCTAGACTTTTTTATCAGCTCTAGAAGAACAAACCAGAAACCAGTTAAACAAATCTGAAATTGCTTGCTTTCTGACAAGTTGTGACTGTGCAGAAAGATCTTTTTAATGCTTTGGTGCTATCACCATAATTAAACATCACAGATGTTCACTCAGATTTACAGCAACACAAGTATAATATTCACCATGTCAAAAATACAATATTGTACTTCCTACTCATCTTCTGGCCACAGCATGACCACAAATGAAAAAGAAGAGAGGGAAAAAAGAAAGAAACAAAAAACAAAAACCCGTTGTGGGAGCTGTCTCCTTGGGAAAAGGCTGGAATTTCAAGTCTTGGCACTATTTATGCATGCTGTGATTTCTTATGCACAGTCTCTATAGCATGAAAAAGCCTACATCAAATATGGCCATCCTCTGAAGATTCTGTGTGGGTTTCGAAAAATAACTTTGCACATTCCAGTGCTCGTAGGTACCCACACTGAGTTATGAATAACTCCCAACATGTCTCAAAGCCAGCAAGCCTCTGGCACTACTTCAGGATATTCCTGGCAAGAGAGTTTTCCTACAACCATCATATTAGACTCAGGTAACATTTTGGAAAAGGATATTCTAGCTACTGAGCAATTTTTGTTTAAGAAGGGGTCACCCAAAGCACTTTTCTTTGTATATAGAGATATGCAAATAAATTTGTCATCCTGGTTTCCCCAGAAAACAAGGCTGATGCAATCACATTTGTTTATCTGTTTTTCAGCAAAGCTTCCCACATCAGCACATTTGCAAGTAGAACTAGTATCAAAGACATGTTGAGTGAAAACAGGCTGTCAATAGAAGGAAAAGTTCCAGGCTGGGCTTGTGTACTTACTGGTCCCTAGAAAAGTTTACACTCAGGAGATCAAAATAATTTTCTCCTGTTGAGAAAGATATGGATGATAACTCTAGATTAAAACCAGGAGATCCTTCCAAGCCATGGGAAAATGTCAGATTTCACTGTAGCAGTTCCACTGCAAACCAGCCCCCAATTATTCTTGTTCTCTTAAAATTATTTGGTTTTAGCTTTCATACAGTTCTTTCGTGTCAGAGTAGCTCAGCAATATTAGAGCTCAGAAACAGCCTGTTCTTGCTGTACTTGTGCATGTCTGTGCACTTGCAAAGCTACTTCATTGTTTTGTTTTTTTGTTTTTTCCCTACTTGGAAAGAGAATTTGCACCAGATCCACCAAGAAGAAATCTGGGCAGACAGGTCCTATACATCAACCTCATTTATTACACAGGCCTCTAGGAGACAGTCCACACCTTCTAGTTCCTTTGTGCATAAACATTTTCTGAAGATTTATTTTTATAAAACATGTTTCAGTGACACTACAAGTGGACAAGGCTCTCAGGCGTAGGGTGTGATTTTTGGGGAGTCCTGTTCAGGGCCACATCTTGGGTTCAAACATCCTGGTGGGTCCCTTCCAGCTCAGCATATTCTATGATTCTATGACCCTTCTTCTTTCTCAGTCAATGTGGTAAAATCAGTATGACCTGACTTCCAAAAAGCAAGCCCCAACACCAGTATTTTGCAGCATAGAGGAGAAAGAGTCTAGAGCCTTAATTCACTCTTAAATCTAGTTTAGAGCTCTGAAAATACATCTATATTTGCACTGTGTTCTCATTTTGCAGATAAGTGATAAAAACTCAGTTTTCTTCATGCTTTCAGCTGATGGTAGGCAGATTTTACATGGTTTTCTTCATCTGATTCTTACTTTAAATATATATATATCCAGGAATGAATGAGAGCATTAGCCTCCACACATTCTGTACCTTATGCTATTTACTACTGGATAGCCCTGGAATATTTGCAGCTGGCTGTACTGTGTTTTGTACAATGCAGCTCTTTATCATGTTTTTTATCAAAGAACTGTGGTTTAGCACAGAATGAGGCAGAGCTGCATTGAAGCTGTAATGTGGTTCAGGTTACCAGATTGCATTTTTGATTATTGGTATTAAAGTGTTCAACATATGCACACAAACAAAAAATCAACATTTAAGAAATACAAGTGGGAAAAGTTTTGAAGAGAGACCGTATAAACTATACCATTATGGAGATTTTGCCTTACTTTCTATATTAAAACAAGCAGCTTTGAATCAATACAAGTGAATCTCCCTATTATTTTCTTTCTGAGGCAAATCTTACACTAAACTTTTGCTAGCAGAAAGTCAGGGGTGTGAGGACATGGGATTTGCAACCAGCACAGCTGTGCTGGCAAAAGGCCCTAACATAGATGTGGTTTTACTGGCAAAGTTGAACTTTTGCCAGCATAGCTAATTTCTCTCTTGGGAGTTAGTTTTGCCAGTACAGCTGCGTCCAGACTCAGGATCAGTGAGTTAGAGACATTTACAGAGCTGCCTTCCGAGCATGGGCACGCTCTCAGTCTCAGCAGAACACTGGTTTGTCAGCACCTTGGGCTGATATTGCAACCATGGCAATATAACAATGAAAGAACCAAATAAAAGAGTTACCTGGCTCCTCCAATGCTGCTTTCCAGGGCCATGAAGCTCACTCCTTTTTTCTCTCCTTTCTTTCTTGTCCTGACTCCTTGCTGTAGGGCTAACACAGAGCACTAACTAATTTAGAAGTAAAATTATCCTATTACCACCTCTCCCTCTGGCAACTTCAAGCACATCACATCACTTTCACCCCATTCCCTTAATTCTCCATGAATTATCTTGAAATAATGAAACATCTTTATGTTTCTCAGCTCAGATTTCAGCTGATACCTGTGATAAAAATTGCTATCAGTTGCATCTCCATCACCTAGTTATGGTCTTTGCACAGCTGTCTGTCTCTCATCCTAAAGGACTCCTGCAGCATGGCATTTCTTATATGCTGCTGAAAGTGCTGAGCTACTGCCACCTACACACCCTTATTCAGCTTTTCTGTCTTTCTCAAGCATTATTGCTTCCAGCTTGTAGTCCTCTTTCAAACTGGGATCTTTCCTTTTTCTGTGGGAAACAATTTTGGCTCCTGCATCAAATATCAGGCAGCACTGCCCCCCCTGCACATTTAACACAATATTCTGCTCTAGTCAGAGTGCAACTTTTGTAGTTGGATGATACAGAATATAATTTCCCCTGTGACTCTTCATCACTAAAAATCTGAAGGATTTGCTCCACATAAGTTCCTGCAGAACAGTATTTTGATTTTTCAATAACTCCTCTGTCCTTTACCTTCAGTTAAAAAAACCCACCACGGTACTATTCCTGCTGGTAAGGGAGAAAGACCAAATGTAAAGTAAGGGATTATTTTACAGCAAAATAAGTCCAAAAAAGTGGGAATATTCTGTTTTCTACCACTACTAAGAGCAGACTCTAGTGAATATGGGAAGCTGTCTTAAAAGGAGATTTCAACATCTCAAGCATTTGACAGCAGGAAAACATGATACTGTTATAACATTGAATGTTTTTCCTTGAAATATTACTTTTAATGCTTCTATATTTAGCTGATTTAAACAACCACAAAATGTTCTTTCTTGTGATTTAATTTGACTCGTGTAAATATGTTATTTAACATGAACTTTTGATAATCATAGCAGTGTGAAACTATAATTCCTAGCATCCTTTGAGGAACGCTTGCTTTTGAGTTTGGTTTCATACACAAATACACAGGCAGCAATTAAATTCCAGCAGGGCACTTTGTTCTATGTCACCCACCATTGAGAGTGGCATAGCCAGCATCTCCAAAGAGGCTCCCATACTCAGCAGCTTTAGAGTTGCTCTGCAAACATGCTCAAAATGTTGCTTTGTTAGAGTCTCTCAGCACAGCAAACTAATGCCTTAGTTGCTGATGTCCTCAAACAAATAAAAGCAATAAGTTTCATTGATAAAGAATAAAAGTCTTGAGTGAGATTTGAAAATATATCAAGTAGTTAAAAAATGGCAATTCAGAAAAAAATTTTTTCCTCCTATCTCAGATATGTCATTGTAGGTAATTCACAAAATTGATCCTTAAGAGATCAAATTCAACTTCAGAAATCTCATAAAGAATTTCTGAGGAGATTCTTTTCCTCAGAAATAAAGAATAAATAAAGTATGAAAAACATAAAGAAATAAAGAATAAAGTAAGTATCAAATAAGGAATAAAGTATAAAAGATAAAGAATTCAGCTCTGATGCCAAGCGCCTTGCATCCTTTTTGCCACTGGGGCACAGAGATGACGGCATAACGCTTGCCCTGACCTTGCAATTTTTATCACCATGACTAGGATAATCTCCCAGGAGATGAGCAAGGTGTTTACACATCATCTGCATGTGAACTGGCAAGGAGAGCCAGCCCCTCAGCGAGGCTGCGCTTATCCTGAAAGGCAGCTGAAGTCACCACTCTGCAAAGGGGATCCCCATGGATGGAAGCCTCTCCCCATCTCCTGGCACTTCACACTGCAATAGCTGCAGAATGAGAGCAACACCCTTCCATGGCTTCAGCAGCTCCCTGCACAGATAGCAGTTATTTTGAAGACTGTATTTTTGTTTGAGAAAATTGACTTTCCTTAGTCATTACCCGGAGGTATAATTTAGGGTGATGGATTCCACCTTGAAGATCAGGTGCCTCCAAATTGATTGCTGCAATGGAATTTCACATGTCCAACTCTTCAGTGGGTCTTTCCAGTGATTGCATTGTTTGATTTTTGTTTATTACAATATTCATATATTACATCTGCCTCTTTCAAACTGCTGACATATAATTTTGACCTTAGCTCTGGCTTTCTGCAGTGTTTTTTCAGAGAAGCCCCACAGTTATTTAATATCCAAAAAAAAGCACAGTAAACAAGCACAAGAAACAAGCCTGCAATGCCTCCAGTTATTTGCTATTTAGCATTGGCATTGCAAAACTTTTATTCATTTTGGAGGTTATTAACACCAGTTCCCCTTTTTTTTTTTTTCAACTTTTTTTTTTTTTTTTTTTTTTTTTTTTTTTTTTTTTTAATGCTAACAAGCAGTGCTTATGTAGCCTTGAAGACTTAAAAACCAAGGGAAACCATCTAATAAAATCTACCAGGAAAAAACACAGTGTGCTAGTGTGCTATGTGTATCTTGCCCTCCACACCCTGGAGCTCTTACAGGAAAATGTGATGCTGTGTTTCCTTTAGCCCCAGGAAAAGGGCGCTGAGAGAGTCACAGAGGTTCAGCTTGGGAATCCTCCACTCAGAATTCTCCAGGCTACTGGCCTGAGCTGGGCTGTGAACAGCTTGGCTTTATCACACTTTCTTTTCTCCAGACTTGGTGAAGATGGAAGATGCACAACTGCTACCAAGTAACAGTTATTCAGTGTTTTAAATGCTTACAATTACGTATTGTCAAAACTGTTTGAGGAAGTTCAACATATGCTACTGTTGTGTGATTTGGTTTGTTTTTTTGGGTTTTTGTTTTTTTTTAATAGGGAAGTTTTCAATTCTATTAAGTGCAAAGAAATTTATGTGCTGATTTATCAATTCTTAGATATTTATTTCTAACTTAAAGAAAAAAAAACTGCATGCCTTTTCGGGGGGGGTAAAACGAAAAGATGATTTCTAGACTCAAGTTCAGCAGTTCATCATTTTATGTTTTTTGGCCATGTGAAAATGCATACTTGATTACACATAGCTTATCACATGGGACAGGTAAGGGCAGACCTGTAGTTCAGACCAACAGATACCAAGAGATTTTTTGATAAATCTAGGACTTTTTACATGCATTTGCGAGAGATTCTCACATGAGACACACCCGCAGTAGCAACCAGATATTCCCCAAGTATCTTAAAAGTACAGGCTGCAGATTCAATTTCTCCTGAGCTTTGCACTTCTCAGCTATTGTCAATTTGCATCACAAGCATAAAGTTATTTAATATACAAAAGCTTTAATGCTCTTTCCACATCATATAACAACACATGTTTATCTGAGTGCTAAATAAAAGCTTTCAGAACTTTAAAGTGACTTTATGAATTGTATGTACCATAAAATAAACATTAGAGTATAATAATATTCTGTAATTTGGAATACAGCAACAGAAACCAGTAGAAGACAAAAGAACAAATGCTTGAATAATCTGCTGCATGTCAGAAACATTAAATTAATTTATGCAATAATGTAAGCACAGTGATGTTAAGGTAATATGGAGGACATAAATTATACATTATTATTGTCAGTTCTAGCACTTATCTTAGTGGTATGTCAAAATAAATCCTGATGTGTTAATATTTATAGAAATGAACAAGTGTTACAGCTCAGGGATTCATCTGTGATATTTTTATATATAATTTGCATTCGCATATATGGGTGTCATTGTCTTTTCTGTAATTTGAGAGGTAAGCATCATGCAATTCATTTCTAATGCATTTTACATTACCATGAAAGCACATTATGCTTCCTCCACTAACACTTTTCAAATAGATGGCCTGCAATGATTTAGAGATTGCACAAAACCACTCAGCAAATGGGTGACAATCTACCTGTGAAATCTGCAGTAACAATGGGTTACAGTGAGCAAAGTGCACTATTTGCTAACAGATTGTCTCTGTAGAATAAATACCTCCTAAAGTTCTTGCAGTGGCACATTTGTTAGGAATTAATATCTCCAAAGGATACATCTTCCTATTCTTTATATTTCACACAAATTGGGGGAATAATTCACCCTCCTCCCCCTAAAATATGAGAATCTGTGTTTACCCCCTTTTATCATGCCCATTTTCAGCCAGCAGATCAGTTTCTGGATGAAGGTAACTGGACCCCACTCGACTTGGTACTTGAAGCTGACCCACAGTCCCATTTGTTGCTACCTCAGAAGTAAGAGGCACACATTCTTCCCACAGCAAGAGACCTTGAGTAAGGGTGGTTAGGGGTTTTGGCCCTGGGCCACATCTTCTGGGTTCTGGGAAGCATGTTTTGGACAAAAAGGTAGCTGTAGACTTCATATACTGCTGAGTCTACAAGTAAGGCTACTGTTTCTAATTACCCAAGGGGTTTTTTTGTGTTTTCCAGAAAAGAAGTGTGAAAATACTTATACTCCCTGATTCAGCAGTAAAAGTCTTATACTGAGCCTTAGGTTCATGTTCTGGTTATCCAAGGACTGCCATGTCAAAATGATTTGGCTAAGTCTGATGATCTTGCCTTTTCCCAATTGCCTCACACACAGCTGAAGTTTTTTCCAAAGTTCATCCATCAAGATTTTCAGTATGGAAGGGTTTAAATTCAAATTTTCGTATTTTTATTATGGAGATGGTTATCTTTAAAAAACCAACAACTGTCCCCAGTACCAACCCTTATGCTTCATCCTATCTTCTGAAAGAGCTTATCTGGAAAAACAGCTTCATGTCTTTCTTTTTGTTCCACTCCAAAGGTATTTCTAGGGTCTATCTACAAACCCGTGAATATCAGCCTAAGGAGTCATTTTGATGCCACCATAGGCATAGAAACCAGAGGACTGGAGAAACTTCAATAATAAGCCATAAAAAACCTGTAGGCTGTGGCCTTACATACAGCCAAGCTCCACTGGGCTCAGTATGAGCATACAAGAAGCTGCAAGAGAAAATATGGGGAGGTGTCAGAGGGCAGTTTCAGATCAACACATTCTAAAATCCACCTAACACTTGAATCAAGAGAAGGGACTGCACAGCCATAAATTGGGAGTATAAATCGTCCCTTTTGTCACACGTGGCAAATGGACAAAAAGTCCTGCTTGATTTCACCTTTCGACAGGAAACAAAAATGAAAGAATTCAATGACCACATTTTTGC